AAATGTGCATTATTCACACACACACCCCTCATCCAGTATAGCAAAAGACACCGCTAAGCTCAGGATCTGGAAGCACAGACATCACCCGGGAAGGGGGGACGACTCTGCATTCTGGAAGGCACCAGAAAAGGAACAAAGAGAGAAAATCACAACCACAGCACAGCTCATTTGTAGAGCTGTTGTTATTTTGGTGTTTATGAGTTTGGGATGGAAGGATGTGGCTCAGGGAGTTCTGTCTCTCAAACCTAAGCAGGGACTTTATATAAAATACTGTGACTATTTTAAACCTATCAAAGCTTTGATGTGCACATATACTTCTCTAGAGCTGTTCTGCTAAGCTACTTTAGTACTGGATATGGGAACTGAAGAGGGAGCGAGAATCTTTGTCTAGATTCTCTGGCAGAGTTCAGAGTGAACAAGGGAGAAAAGATATAGAGGAAGGGGTCATGGGATACCCAAGCTGTGTTTGAACCTTCTAGGATATGGATGTTCCTCCTGCCTTCTAGGGGCTCTGGTAAAACCAAGAACAAAATGTTTGGTCTCTATTACCTGAGTTTCCTAGTGTGAGGTTCTCGGTACCTTCTACCATTATTCTGGGGCTGTTTGCATTTATTTCTTCTGTATACTCTGCTGGACTTCATGGGAATGTGAACAGAATGAATCAAGAGCTTACAGAAATGAGACATAAATTTAAAAATATTCCCCGCTTGTATTGCTTAAAAAAAAGTTTCTTGCTCCCCTTCCCAGCAATCTCTTGTCTTTACTGATAATTCTGCTAGCAATCTTTTGCAATCTGTAAGTACTTAAGGAAAGATTATTGTAACTGACATACTCATTTCAGATCCTTAAAATAAGGTTTTGTTCTCCTTGTTTTTGTATCTTAACTGACACATACCATTCACATGTGTCACTGTAACTGGCAGTAGGAGATTATTCCGCTCTCTGCAACAGTCACTTACAGAAAAAGGAATCTGTTTGTAGTGTTCATAGCTGTTGAAACTCACAGAACTGTAAAGTAAGCCAAAGGTCTAGAGGCTGTTTATGAATCTACTGGGGTCTAAAAAATGTCATTCATTTATTTTAATTTGTGCAACAGTTAGAATACAGGAGCCAGGGAGAGGATTGGGGAAGGGCATTGCGCCAACAAAGCAGTAGGATTGAAAAGGCCCTGTTCTTAGTGGCTTCTCCTCAGCCTTGATGGGAGGGGAACACAGAGCAGGACCTTGGATAATAATTTCAAAATTGAGGCAAGCCCATACACAATCAGGTGGTTCTTTAAGTACTCTGTTCTCAGACCTTGTAGGGCTTTAAAGGTAAAACCCAGTAATTTTAATTTAGTGTGGAAAATGAGCAGGTGGCCAGGGGAGTACCAGTGAGAGAACTTGCTGGAAATCAGTATCTGCTGACAGCCTAGCTACTGCATTTTGAGCCAACTTTATTTATTTTATTAGATTTATATACCACCCTCCCCAGATGGTTTCCAAGCCATCTTCAAAGGCATGTAGAATTCAAGGAAGAAAGTGATTATCTGCAGGGTTTTTTTGCTTTAGAAAGAATGGAGATAGAAGGACTATTTATGGTATAGAGAGAGAGGATAGTGAGAAACTTTTATTTCTCCCATAATGCTGGAACTTGGAGTCACCCTATGAAACTGATTGGCAGTAGATTGAGGACAGGCAAAAGAAACTACTCCTTCATACAACAGGTGGGTTGACTTGTGGGACTCCCTGCCATGAGATGGTCACTGGTTTAGCTGGATTTAGAGGGGTGTTGGACACATGTATGGGGGATAGGTCTATCACTGGCTGTTAACCATGATAGCTAAATGGAACCTCTGGGTTCAAAGGTAGAGTGTGGCTGGTTGTCAGATGCCGGAGAATAGTTAGCAGGTGAGGTCTGTTGTCTTCAGTGCCTGCTTGTGGGCTTCTCTGTGGCATCTGACTAGCCACTGTGGGAAACAGGATAGTGGGTTAGGGCCCCGGTCACACGAGAGGAATTGGGCCGGGAGAGGGACGGATCAGGGGCGCGGCAAATGGGCACAATCCCACCGCAACATCTGGGAAGCGTTGCTCGCCCGTCCCCAATCCGGCCCTTCCAACGATAAGCCGTGTGGCGAACCGGGGACCTACCCTCAGCCCTGGGGAACCGAGGTGCCGTCCTGGGGCTTGCAAGCCCCTGTTTGGTCCTTCCCACCCTGCCTGGTGGGGCTATTCCTCTTCGTTCCGGCTGCCACCACTCACTGAATTAAGTCACCGCTTTCCTTGAGGGACAGTGAGACCCCTCTGGCTATATTTCCCACCTCGGGAAGTGGTTATCTCAATGTTTGGGCGCCCCCTGGAGGGTTGGCAACCCACCAGTTTTAGGCCCATTTAAGTCCCCCGGCCTCCCTTTGCCCCTGGTAACGTGTAGAGCGGGGGAGTCTAGGTGGATAAGGCACACCAGGCTTTTTAAACTCAACAAAGGAAGATTTATTGAACTTATATACATTTTGGGGCATAGAAAATAAACTCAGGCACTTCAACACAACCTGGGCACACAAAACAAACAGGATCAAAACGCAAGTCTTCTGTCCCTACCACACACCCTCTCTACTTCGGTAGTGGATTGCGGCCTCAGGCCAGGATTTGCGTTTTCCTCTCCGGTTGTGGAGAGAAACTCCAGCCCTTCTCCACGGAACTGGCCACCAGCACTGCCACCCTCCTGGCTCTCCACCACG